ACAATACAATATGAGACATTTTGCACTGGTACTGCAAATGAAATGACAGCAATAGTATTCCATGACATTTATAGGGGACCTTCATCATATCAAGAGTCTTAGATCTAAACAATAAGAGAAGGCATTCTATGCTTTTAGATACATTTGGGTTGCAAAACAGTTTTGGAAACAAACGATTGTTTCATATTTTGACAAGCTACCCTATTTTTTGGCATATATGAAAAATTTACACACACACACACACACACACACACACACACACACACACACACACACACACACATGCACGCACGCACGCACGCACGCACGCACGCACGCACGCACGCACGCACAAATCTGCATCCTATGCACCACTGGCCAATTTTTGGGCCTCCATAGGCATACCACAAATTGTACTACAAAAATTGAGATGGCGAGATTAAATAGGTGATATCTGAGGCTAATTCTCTGTTTCAAAGGTTTTGAAAAATAAATTATAGAAAATAACTGCAGAATGAGTGTTCTTTAGAAGGATCCTTCTTCATCTATATTTGACATAGTACTAATAATAGTAAGGTTATACCCATAAAGAACAAAATAAAAATATAAAAGCCTGTTCATCTGTACTGACCACACTGCAAATTTCAAATATAAGAAGTGGATACACCAAGATGAACTACTGCATGAGAATTGCCGGCACAACAAGGCATGACAGGTGCTCCCTTAAGTACATATTATGCTGTAAATTGTTATAGTATGTTGGTGCCTCTTACAAACTACAAACAGGTAAAGTGTAATTTTATTCTGAAATAGGTTTGATATTAGGATGCATTATATACAAAGATGTGTATTATATGCCAAAACATAGGGCATCTTAACCCACTACCGCCAATACATTTGGAAGCCGATGATCCCGGTTTCCGGGTGGTTTCAAAATTGGAACGTGGGCCAGTCCGAGAACAAAATCAGAGCGCAAGCTCCGATCCAGTATCGCACTGGTGGGACAGCCAGTAATGTTTACTTTTCTGGGTATCACATATGTGTCACACCCGTTGCAGGTGGGTTAAACTGATGAATTTCTAAAAGAACAAGATATTTTTTTTATTTTAATAAGTTAATATTTACTGAAGCATGTTACACACTTGATAATGAGCATTAAAAAAGAGTAAAGGATATACAAAAAATTCATGAAACAGCCAAAACAAAGAAAGAAACACTAACCAGTGATATTTGGAATCAACAATGCACATGAAACTGTGGATCCCTTTTGGTTTAACTCTTTGATAAAGAATCTAATCTGATTTCAAACAATATGGATTAGTATCTCCCCTATTATTATAGTTGCCTCACTTCAAAATCTTACTCTTCTGTGCTGGTTTGTTTCTGCAATGAAGTGTGTACTTTCAAACATTTTTTTATGACGAGTTAATTGCAAGCACTTACAACTGCTACAGGTAAAAGGTGATATCATAAAGCTGCCTTTTACTTGCAGCAACAAGTATCTGAACAACCAAATTTTCCAAGCAAAACAAAAAGGGTTTTCAGACTATAAGCATTTATAAATTTCCTCATTGCAATGCATTACATAAAATATGTTCTGTCAACAATTATAAAATTAAATCCTAACAAAAATTGTTAAAATATCCTGTTTTGGGGAATATGCCTTTTTCTATTCCACAAGAAATTTCTATTCCACAATATACATATTGATAAATGTGGATTGCAAAAACTTTCCCATAAGCAAGTTTAACTTACTATAATAAAACTAAGTGACTGAGAATTATTTGATTGAATATTAACCAAGGTTAATGTCACTTTAAACCTGGTAGTAAGTATGCATGGCAGCCAATAAAAAAAACAATGACACTCCCATCTATTATATATCATCCAAACTCTTGAAAAATCACTTTGGTATTCCATACAAACCTCCTTGCATGGTTAGACTGGCTAGTTCAGTAAACAATTATCATATAAAAGAGATTTATATACTGAAAGTTTTCATCATCTCTAGGAGTGCCATTAACAAAGCACTTGAAGATGGTGTCTTCAATCATATCCTACAACATTTGACTCATAAAAGCTTTGGTAACTATTCCTTACAAATCTCATCTACTGGTAGTTTGGTTAGTGATTTAGATTTACAATTCACTACATAGAAGAAAATAATGTTTTGTGAACAGGAAATACATAAAAAGGTTTAATACAGGCACGACTTATATATTCAGCAAAATTAAAAACTACTTTACAATTCTATCTATATTCTACAGTCAGCACCAAAAATCCCGTACCAAGACTTAAGACAATTTGAAACGTATCCATGTTGACAAATGTAGAAAAGGTATGAATGAGACTGGATATCTTCACAATACAAGAGATGTATTTGACCGGTTTCGAAACCGGTCAAATACATCTCTTGTATTGTGAAGATATCCAGTCTCATTCATACCTTTTCTACATTAAGACAATTTATCAAGTACCCCTTATAACTCTGGTTAAAATTTGACCAAATTGTTGGCATGAGCCAGGGAGGTAAAGTGAGCAGAGCTTAATCAGCTGTCACTTGTTTGAACCAGATAATGTGTCCTGAGCATTCATAGGCGGTGCATTCTGTTTGTCTTTTGCGTTGCCCCATACAGTTTATGAACATGACCATTGCTCTTTACTTTGCCTTTTGTGGAGAAATGGGAGGTGGGATTTTGGCGCTGACTGTATACTAGTTTTCATCTTGGACACTTTAACTGGTAAAGGACTGTTCCTTTTTTAACTACCAATCAGCATTTGTGCCATTCTAGCTGAAATTTTAAAAAATGCATAACTGTTTTCATTTTTGTTAACATTTATTATTGTTTTTGGTCCCAATACTATGTTTGTGTTATCCTGGAATGCAATACACTCTGTGACATGTTAAACATATTAATAACTATGACTGGTAATGAAACTGACAAACCTGAAGTGGAGGTTCAATCTATAGCAGGAAGCACAGCTACTATAAAAATTGTATAAATAAAAGACAATACCAAAAATGACCACACCTAGAATTCTTTATATTTCTAAATATAACTCATATATTATAATTTTTCTATCCTAGAGGCACAGTCTTACTATCAGTGAACACAGAGTAATCAATGTTTTTAAGGGACAAAGTCCTCAACATGATCCATATTGACTTATTCATGAACTGAAAGGTATTATTAAAAAATATTCATATAAATCAAGAACTATACTTGCACTCTGTTGCTGATAATGTTCACTGAAATATATCCTACTTTTTGCCTAAAATATAAAAAAATATTGAGTTGAGCAACCTCAAATATGTTGCAAAAATATTCAAGTAGCATCTCTGTATAGCTATTGAGACCCAAATAGGCTCCTAATCTGTCTGTGTTACTTCATTACAAATTATATGGAAATAAACAAGATATTATGCAAGCTGGTAAAGCTTTTAAGTCTTCTGTCCATAACATATTTATGAAAATTATAAAAGAAAAGACTTTATAACCTACCTTTATTGTTTCTTGTAAAGAGCAACATCAAAAAGAAAGAAAGATTTATTTTTGGTCCAAATTTGGTTTCAATCTCAAAATGAATGAATGGGCAAATACACTCTACATCTTGACCAGAAAATCACTATGATGATACCTATCACATAAACCTCACTCAGAAAATAGTGTATGATTTGCTACTATAAAAATTCTACATATGAAATGCCTGACATTCCACACATGAAATGCCTAAATGCAGCTCAATCTTCTTATTGCTAATTCACACAAAAAATCAAGAAGATCAAAACTCATCATGTGTGTACTCAAAGTCATCACCATCATCGTAGTCTTCGTAGTCTTCACCTGGCCAGGATCCCCAGAAATCTAATGAACATGCTCCAAACAATCCTTCACCTCTGAAAACATAATCACATACTCAATATTGAATAATGCAAAAAACATTGACTGCAAAAATGAAATTAACAAAGAAGTGCCTGTATATTCATCAACATATAAGCGGCTGAAAACAAACACAAAAACAGTAATATGTACAAAAAGAAAGGAAACAGCCACAATAAATGAAACTGAATGTTCCTCATAAGACCAACAAATAACTTTTTATATATAATAGGCTTTCATATAAAACTGTTTATTCTGAATACCACAGTATCAAAATTCATATACATCACTACTCTCCATGTGTATTTGAAGTATGTCTAAAATAGTACTCATACATATATATTTGCAATCAGGAATATCAGCATATGACAAATATGTAAATCAACAACAACAGCAAAAAACTATTATAATACAATACAATACGGCACTTACCTGCACAAATAATCTTCAAGAGAATTATCACTTGCCCAGAGATTATACAGCACTTTTTCATCTGAAACTTCAGCTAACAACTCATCACACAAATCCTGGAGTCTGAAAAAATTAGAAAGAAGGTCATCCCAAAAATAAAGTGCATAAATTCCTATTTTGTAAATGTCATTTGCTCTCTTTCTTTCTTGTGTTAAAAAAGAAAGTATGAATATATAAGATGGGAAAATCTCCATCATCACTTATGACTGTACATGTACAAAAATACAATTACAAGTAGGAAACCAATAATAATTTCTGAAGAATGAATTTCATACTTTAATATAGCAAATCATGAAAAAGATTTTGTCACAGTGAAATTTAACACATAAAAAAATAAGAAACAGAGCCATACATTATACACAAAAAATGTGTTTTTGTGAAGCACAATACTCTAAGTTGTAGAAGACAAACAAAGTAGTCTATGGCCATTTCTTCATTATAAAATAATAGTTATTGCTGGGTTAATACCTTCTTGACCAAAGGCCTTCATCATCCCGAGCTTCATCCTGATGAAAATCAAAATTCATACCAGGACCTGCCAATCGCTCTTCATCATTCACTTTAATGCTCCCATACCTGGAAGGCAAATAATATGACAATGTGTTCCTTCCCTATTTCCAATTTATGTAAAACTCAACAGTATATTTTAAAATGTATTTGAGTATCTTA